CTGCTGTGGGATTTCCAACAATTCTGAATCCAACATGTTCCAATATGGAAACACCCCCTTGAATATTCTATCTTGTCAATTTCGTGCATGCCTGTGCAGAAAACTACTGATGATTTTTCAAGCAACAGGACGCCAAGTCAACATGCCAGAAAAAACAAGGAAACATGATGAAAAAGAGAGGAAAAAACAATGAACAATGATGAACAAGAGAGAAAAAAACAAGAAACAATGATGAAAAAGAGTGAAAAAAACAATGAAACATGATGAAAACGAGAGAAAAAAACAAGGAAACATTATGAAAACTAGAGAAACAACAATGAAAAATGATGAAAAGATAGAAAAAAACAATGAAAAATGATAAAAAAGAGAGAGCAAACACTGAAAAATGATGAAACAAAGGACAAAAAACAATGAAAACTGATGAAAAAGAGAGAAACAAACAATGAAAAATGATGAAAAAGAGAGAACAAACAATGAAACATGATGAAAAAGAGAGAAAAAAAACAATGAAAACGGATGAAAAAGAGAGAAACAACAATGAACACGTATGAAAAATAGAGAAAAAACAATGAACAATGATGAAAAAGAGAGAACAACCAATGAAACATGATGAAAAAGATAGAAAAACAATGAAAAATGATGAACAAGGGAGAAAAAGACAAGAAAAAATGATGAAAAAGAGTGAAAAAAACAATCAAACATAATGAAAAAGAGAGAAAAACAATGAAAAATGATGAAAAAACAGGGACAAAAAACAATGAAAAATGATGACCAAGAGAGAAAAAAACAAGAAACACTTATGAAAAAGAGTGACAAAAAATGAAACATGATGAAAAAGAGAAAAAAACAATGAAAAATGATGAAGAAGAGAGAAACAAAAACAATGAAAAATAATTAAAAATGATGAACGTGTTTTTTCATTGTTTTTTCTCTCTTTTTGATCTTTTTTCATTGTTGTTTCTCTATTGTTCATCATTTTTCATTGTTTTTTCCATCTCTTTTTCATCATTTTTCATTGTTTTGTTCTTCTCTTTTTCATCATGTTTCATTGTTTTTTCTTCTCTTTTTCATTATTTTTCATTTTTGTTTCTCTCTTTTTCATCATGTTTCATTGTTTTTCCTCTCTTTTTTCATCATTTTTCATTGGTGTTTCTCTATTTTTCATCATTTTTCATTGTTGTTTCCTCTGTTTTTTAAAATGTTTCATTGTTTTTCCTTTGTTTTTCATCATTTTTGATTGTTGTTTCTCTATTTTTCATCATGTTTCCTGGTTTTGTCTCCCTTTTTCATCATGTTTCAAGTTTTTTCCCACTCTTTATCATCATTTTTTCTTGTTTTTTTCTTTGTTTTTCATCATTTTTCATTGTGTTTTTTCCCTCTTTTTCATCCTTTTTGATTGTTTTTTTTCTCTGCTTCATCATTGTTCATTGTTTTGTTTCTATTTTTCATCATTTTTCACTGTTTTTTCCATATTTTTAATCGGATTTCATTGTTTTTTCTCTCGTTTTCATCATTTTTCATTGTTTTTCCCTCAATTTTTCATCATGTTTCCTCATTTTTCCACTATTTTTCATCATTGTTCATTGGTTTTTCCTCTCTTTTTTATCATTTTTCATTATTTTTTCTCTCTTTTTCAAAATTTTTCATTTGTGTTTCTCTATTTGTCATCATGTTTCATTGTGTTTTTTTTTTCTCTGCTGCATCATTTTTCATTGTTTTGTCTCTATTTTTCATCATTTTTCACTTTTTTTTTCATATGTTTACTCGGATTTCATTGTTTTTTCTCTTTTTCACCATTTTTCATTGTTTTTTTCTCTCTTTTTCATCATGTTTCATTGTTTGTTCTCTCTTTTTCATAATGTGTTCTTGTTTTTGTTCTCTCTTGTTCATCATTTTTCATTGGTTTTTTCCCTCTTTTTCATCATTTTTCCTGGTTTTTTTCTATCTGTTTCATCTTTTTTCATTGTTTTTTTTCATTATTTTTTATTGTTTTTCAATGTTTTTCAATTGTTTAATGTTATTTTTGAGCTTTTGATAAGGCTCAAAAATACGAAAACGGACAAGATAGAATATTTTCGAGACCCTGGCGTGACATGGCTCCAAATTATATATTTGGAAGCCTTCCATTGCGTGGATTTTTTTCCGTATGTTTCATTGTTTTTGCTGTATTTTTCATATTCCTGGCGTATCAGATAAAACCAACAATTTTGCTAGGTAAATCCCAAAATATTCAGACTTGTTTCCACCACGTTTTGCGTTAAAACCGCAAATTGAGGGTGTGAGGTGCGACCACGCGGTGGGCCGGCAACAGCTGTGAATTGCGGGGAGGCATGGCACCAACTGACTTAAACCCAATAAAACCTATAGAACCGCTATATTATATATATATGCACATAAGTATTGTGAAAATCAACATAAGAGCATTTCCACACACACAATGGAAAAAATCCAAGTAATTTGGAGCCATGTCACTCTAGGGTCTCGAAAATATTCTATCTTGTCCGTTTTCATATTTTTGAGCCTTATCAAAGCTCAAAGCATAACATTAAACAATTGAAAAACAAAGAAAAACAATGAAAAATAATGAAAAAAAGTGAAAACCAATGAAATAAAAATGAAAAATACAACAAAAACAATGAAACATACGGAAAAAAATCCACGCAATGGAAGGCTTCCAAATATATAATTTGGAGCCATGTCACGCCAGGGTCTCGAAAATATTCTATCTTGTCCGTTTTCATATTTTTGAGCCTTATCAAAAGTCCAAAAATAACATTAAACAATTGAAAAACATTGAAAAACAATAAAAAATAATGAAAAAAAACAATGAACAATGATGAAACAAATAGAAAAAAAACAAGGAAAAATGATGAAAAAGAGAGAAAAAACAAATGAACAATGATGAACAAGAGAGAAAAAAACAAGGAAACATTCTGAAAAAGAGAGAACAACAATGAAACATGATGAAAAAGAGAGAAAAAACAATGAAAAATGATGAAAAGTAGAGAAACAACAATGAAAAATGATGAAAAAGAGAGAAACAACAATGAAAAATGATGAAAAAGAGAGGAAAAAACAATGAACACTGATGAAAAAGATAGGACAAAACAATGCAAAATGTTGAAAAATAGGGAAAAAAGGAACCATGATGAAAAATAGAGGAAAAACCAATGAAAAATGATGAACAAGAGAGAAAAACAAGAAGAAAACATGATTAAAAACAGTGAAAACAACAATGAAACATGATGAAAAAGAGAGAAAAAACAAGGGAGCATGATGAACAATACATGAAAAAACAATGAAAAATGATGAACAAAAGAGAAAAAAAACAAGAAAGCATGATGAACAAGAGTGAAAAAAACAATGAACCATGATGAAAAAGAGAGGAAAAACAATGAAACATGATGAAAAAGAGATAAAAAACAATGAGACATGATGAAAAAGAGAAGAAAAACAATTAACAATGATGAAAAAGAGAGAACAAACAATGAAACATGATGAAAAAGAGAGAAAAAACAATGAACAATGATGAAAAAGAGAGGGAAAACAATGAACAATGATGAAAAATAGAGAAACAACAATGAAAAATAATGAAACATAGAAAAACAACAATGAAACACACAATGAAAAAATATGAAAAAATAGAAACAAGAATGAACAGTTATGAAAAAGAGAGGAAAAAACAATGAGAAATGATGAAAAAGAGAGGAAAAAACAATGAAACATAATGAAAAATAGAGAAGCAAAATGAAAAGTGATGAAAAATAGAGAGCCAACAATGAAAAATGATGGAAAACGTCATTGTTTTTTCTCTATTATTTTTTATTGGTATTTGTGTTTCTTTATTTTTCATCATTTTTCATTGTTTTCTTCTTCAATTTTTCATCATGGTTCATTGTTGTTTCTCTATGTTTCATCATTTTTCATTGTTTTTTATTTTTTTCATAATTTTTCATTGTTTTTTCTCCCTTTTTCATCATTCTTCATTGTTGTTTCGTTTTTTTCATCATATTCTATGTTTTTCTATGTTTCATCATGTTTCCTTGTTTGTGTTCCCGCTGTTTTTTTCATCATTTTTCACGGTTTTTTCCATATGTTTAATCGGTGTTCATTGTTTTTTCCCTCTTGTTCATCATTTTTCATTGTTGTTTTCTCTTTTTTCCATCATTTTTCATTGTTTTTGTTTTATATTTTTCATTATTTTTCATTGTTTTTCAATTGTTTAATGTTATTCTTTGAGCTTTGATAAGGCTCAAAAATACGAAAACGGACAAGATAGAATATTTTGGAGACCCTGGCGTGACATGGTTCCAAATTATATATGTGGAAACATTCCATTGCGTGGAAAGGTTTGTGTGCTGATTTCCAAGATACGTGTATATATATATATTATTTAGAGAGATATAGATATATAACCGTGGCAGGAGGGAGTCCACTTGGCATGTTGGCTTAGCTGATTTGTAAAAAGAGGTATCCGCAGCTTTACTGGGATTTACTGGGATTTCCCCCCAATTCCATAATTATCTATACTGACCGGCGAAAAGATCGAATATTCTATCTTGTGATTATTTTAATTTCAGAATATTCTATCTTGTGGGTGCTAGACCCTGTGTTTTTTGATATTCTATCTTGTCCCGACTAAGAGTACAATATTCTATCTTTCAGGCGGTCGGTATAGATGGATTTAACCAGCCAACATGGATATAATCAAAAAAAACATCTGAAACAATACCTGTATGGATTTAAGCTTTAAAATGGGGATACCAAAATGATAGTGACATCCCAAACGTCATTTCACACCGTCGAAAAACCCGGCCCTGGGCCGATTGGATCAACATTGGGATACCGATTTTTTACGGGGAAAACCCCCAAATCCCCTGCAATACATTAAAATGGCATGAAATGGCATGAAATGGCCATGAAATGACTATGAAATGCTGGTGAATCTAATTTTCCGCCAACCATTAGTGTGACCTCCCCAGCCGTTGCTGCTGTGCGGCTGGATTTTCCAATTGAATCCGTTCGTCTGCACGCGTAGTAAGCTCGATCTGGGTTCCAAGAGCTTGGATGCTGTGGAAATGATGGATGGTGTTGGGATAATGGATCGCTTAAGGGGATCATCATCTCTTTTTTCAATGAGGAGATTTTGAGATCTTTCATCTTTACTGATCACATATATATATATAGTCAATTTTTACCAAGTAACTAAATAATTATGCCAAGCGACGATGCTAAGCAAAAAAAATGACTTGGAAAAGTCAGCCCCAAAAAAAACTAATTTTACCAAACATCTCTGGTTTAATATCCCATTCAGAACTCATTCTTATCCATGATTATTTTCCCTATCACCATCCCATGTCAATGAGGTGATTCTTGGGAAAGGCAGCACTTTGGGGTCAGCCGGGCACCATAACCACCCACCGGCAGCTTTGGTGCCCAGCGGCCCGGCGTGTATGGTTCAGGTGCAAGACATCGGGCACTTGTTCATTCGCGCGCCAGGCATGGTACTTTGTGCGCGTTGCTCAAGCGTTGCTAGGCGCGGATCAAAATCAGAGGTTTCGGAGGTGGTTTCGGAATCAATATTCCTGCGATCGAAGATTTTCTTAATGGCTGGTTTATGGCTGGTTTATGGCTGCTGTGGGGCTGGATGAATGTTTCGTTAAGGAGAAGAAGGCATGCAAACACATATTTATCAGCATGTGCCGATGATTATCCGCACATAGATAGAGACATATTTGTACGTATGTGAAAAAATAAATTTACAAGTGCCCAAGCTTGGATTGAAAAGAATCAAGGCCATTGAACAATTTTGAAGGCTATGGAAAAGAAAGTGCTATTGAAAAATCACTCGGAACCGTTCTTCCCATCCCTTCTGAAGATAAGGAAAGCACACCAGGCGATCCAACGATTGCATGAACAGTGCCAAATGCACAGCTACATCTGCTGAGACAGCTATAATCTATATTATATATATATATATATGTATTATATATATACATATATAATACTATATATATAATGTATATATATATATATAATGTATATATATAATGTATATATATATATAATATGTATATATATATAATATGTATATATATATTATATTATCCACATATATGCGTGTGTGAATATGTGTGATTTGGCTCATTGGGTGGTTCATTGACGGATTGATTGCCGAGGGGTTGGTGTGAACTGGAGACCCGTCGATCTCTCTATAGCTGTGCCGCCCAATGTCTCGCTGAAATTACTACACCAGGCAGCCCCTGGAAGATTGCATCAGCTTTGCCAAATCCACAGACACATCTTCGCGTCACCAATTGTATGTACAGTATATATATATGTGATTATATATATATATATATGATTATATATATATGTATTTTATTACATATATCTTTATATTTATCTCTCTCTCTCTCTCTCTAACTCTGTCATTGCCTGATTGGTTGGCTGGTTCATTGCGACTCTTTGATTGCCGAGGCTTTGGTGTGAATTGGCGACCCGTCGCTATCTTCAACTGTGACGCCCAAAAAACAGTCGGGTTCATCAACACACCATGATTAAAGTACATGATGTTGTGTCATACCTATATATATATGTATACATATAATTCCTATCGAATGTTCCATATACAATTTAATACACTTTATGTAATCATATATACACAGTGGTCAATATTTCCATCACTCTCCCTTCAATCGAGGTTAGGTTGTCGAACCTCAAAGTTGCTGGGCGCGACAGAAACTTTCCTGACCTCAGCTGACTACCACATCGGAACTTTCCTGAACCCCCCATGGGTAAAATTTAGGGAACATCCCATTCCATTGGTTAAGACAACCAGGTTCCCCATCATGGATAGTAACGATTATCAAGTTATAGTTATAACCATTAACGGATAAATGGCCATAATTACCAACACTAAAAACATATGAAATGTTCGGTAAGTTCGGAGGGTTGTTTAGGGGCCACAGGGCCACAGACCCCATTTTGATCCTCGAAGACCGTTCGGTTCCGTTCGGCCGAGCGCCCGGACTAGCACGGAGCTGATGGCACCTGCAAGTTCAAGTTTCAAACTATTTTGGAGGATACCCTCTGGTAATTTAACATAGCTATTGAAAATTGCCATTTATAGTGGATTTTCCCATGAAAAATGGTGATTTTCAATAGCGATGTTAAATTACCAGAGGGTAACTATGGGGATAGTGGTGAGAAACACAAAAACTCATGTTTGTGCTACCACGTTGAGAAAATCGAATTTCTTCAGCCATTTTGGGGATGATTTTTGTATTCACTTTTAGGCAATCCTCGTCTTCACAGTCCGGAAAGTTAGTAAAATTGAATCAATGAGATGTTGGGAATGTTCGGACGTTCATCCACCAATATTTTCACATATATTTTCCCTGTTTACTTTCGACATCTCTTGATCACCAGAGCATGACAAAAAATGAAAAAGGTTGGGGATGATGTATGAACTTGGGTTTACCACATGTATCACTAACTACTAATGATATCCCTTTACATAGATAAGAATAAACTATTAATGTATCATTCATCATTATAATATATATATATACACATATATTGTATATATATATATACGTATATATTGTGTATATATATATATTATCTTATATATATATATATATATGATATCCCCTTGATATTTCCAACCCATCTCCCAACTCTCGACTTGGCCACGACACCATCGGCGCGACCCGTCACTGCGGTGCAGTTTCCCCGCAAGGCGATGGGGTTTTCATCCTGCGAAGCGGTGATCGCGTGGAAATTCCGATGGAACGATTAAGATCAGATAACATAAATTAAATATGATATACTATATAAGACAATAAGGTAATATAAATATAGTATAGAATAGAATAGAATAGATTATAATATAATATAATATAATAGAATAGAATAGATTATAATATAATAGAATAGAATAGAATAGAATATAATAGAATAGAATAGAATAGTAGAATAGAATAGAATAGTAGAATAGATTATATTATACTATAATATAATATCATACTGCATAATACAATACCATACTATACAATACTATACAATAACAATAACAATAACAATGAAAATAACAATAACAATACAATACTAATGACAATACAATACAATACAACATAATATAATGTAATATAATCTAATGTAATAGAATAAAATGTGATATAATAGAATATAAATATATGAAATATCATATAAAATAGTCTATTCTAATTACAATCATCTAACTAATCATCATGATAATGATGCCACTATAGAAATGAAAAATAGCAATATTGATAAGAATAAGAATGACAACAATAGCAATAACAATAGTACAATATTACAATAAGACAATAATACAATAACACAAAAACAATAACAATGCCCAACAGTAAACTAACATAGCTATTGAAAAGTGCACATTTGTATTTTCCTATTAAAATGGTGAATTCCATAGATATGTTAGTTTATAAGAGGGAAACGGTAGTGCCGTAATAATAGTAAGAATAGTAGTAATAACAGTAACTATAATTGGAAGAGTAATAGTCACACCAGTGATAAGTAGTAATAGTCATAATACTAGTACTAGTAATAAAAGTAGTACTAGTAGTAAAGTAGTAATAGTAAGAACTTAACAACATTAGTAATGGTAGTGATGATGATCACAATCAACAAACACGTACCCTATCTGCGGCAGAAATCAATACAAAACATGGGGATAACAATGGGATTTTTCGTTGGATATGGGACAATGGTGGGATATTTATAGGCTATCCTGGGAACATTTTTGGAATCGTCAAAAAATCATGGTAACCATCCCCAATCTATGGCTGATTTTTTTTGGTGCAGCCCTACTTGACAAGACACCCGTGGATTCCGTGAGAATCCACGGGATTTTGGGGTACCCTATTTGAAACAAACCCAAATAACTCTGAAAATCCAATTGTCTAGACATCACCAAATTAAAATAGTCACAATCACGAAAGGCTAGGTTGGTGCAAAACTGCCGAGAGCACTGAGAACCACCACCCCCTCTCCTCCACTTTGGGTGCCACATCACTCCCATTCCTCTGCTCAACGACTCTTCGTGGGGTGGGATACGGGATGACCAAGAAACTTGCTTCAAAGCTCCAGTTTTTGCACAAGGGAGCTTCTGGCAATCCTGAAATTCCATGGAAAAAATGGTGAATCATAACAATTTCAATAATTTGACAAAAATCGTCATCTTCTTATTCTTCATTGCCAGGAGCCCATGGGACACTGGGTTGGCTCACAGCTCCAGCTGAAGCTCCACTTGTCCAAAGCCTCGAGGGCTTTTGCCCCCCAAAAAATGACCCCCTCCATATGTGCGGTGGATAGGAAATGTATGGAAATGTTGGGTATCTTCAGAAATGCTATTCGCAACATCCCAGTTTGGGAAGTGGCTAGTAACTAGATAAATCATAGCTTCAAGTTTCATGGGATTTATGGTTTATGGTCAATGGTTACTTAACTCCCTATAAGAATCGATTGATGAGCATCACTGTGGGAAAGTAACCCATGTTTTGACCTTACACATGGGACCCAAAAGGAATAGATGCAACACTAAACCAGGAGGTCGTGTTTTTTGTATTTAAGAGTAGGGGTATAGGGTTATAAAAGGGAATTAGCCCATAATCGTACAATAAATCCAACCATCATAGGGATATAACGGGCTGATGTTGATATTGAGACGTTGATACTTGATAAAAAAAATGCCAATAGCCCAATAGCTACTAAGTTTTTTTGTTCAGTTGGAACAAAATGCTGAAGGATCTGAGGTCCATGCACTGTCTGAGGCATAAGTGGCTCGCTGCCTGGTGTCAAGGATGGTGGTCGCGACCCCGTCAACAGGTCGCAAAATAGTGAAAGAAACCGCAACAGTTTTGACGCACAATACAAAATGGAGGATAAGACTAGTGACTAGTGGCACTAAACAAAAAAAAAAACGATTTGCCAGGTCAGACGAAGAGTAATGACAGTCATGACTCTGATATATAGTTGAACAACAAGAATGACAATATCAAATGTCAAACCACTAACCCACAGGTTTTGCTGACCGTTGGACCTTGCCAGCTTGGAAGGTGAAGTAGGCAAAGTCTGCCTGTGGGAGGAACTGAAACAGCTACGCGGGAGTGTTTCTGTACATGTCATGCACAGATCTCTGCATCATGAGTCTCTTTTTCATTTACATATATAAATGGTAATAGTGAGATATCTATCCAAAATCGTCTATCCAAAAGATTGGAGCGATGAAATTGGTCATCTACGCCCTAGTGGCCCTGTAGTGCCCCTCCCTCGCCCCGCCTGAGAGAGGTTGCTGGGAACTGGTACCTCAACGGCGACTTGACCAACAGACCAACCAATCTCCGGCTTTCGAACCCGCAAAACCAGGAATTCTGTGGCAAAATGTGACATTTCAGATCCAGCCCAGCCCAGATCCCCCAAAAAAACTGGGTTGGAACCTCTGCATCTTCTTTGCTTTGCCATCAAAAAACAGCCAAAAATCATAGAATTTCTCCAGGCATCTCCAGCAGCTTTGCCAGGTCACATTTGCAGGTAGTCGGGTGGCTGGTAGCTTAGCATCGGTGGCCACCTCGTGCTGGAAGCTCAAGGTGTAGTTCAAGGGCTGTGGCACCTGGCACCGACAATTGAAACCTGCAAAAAAACTGGGGTAAATTTGGGAAAATACGAGGAACATTGGGAAAATGAAATGTCAAAACCCATGGTCAATGGAACATGCTTCAAGATTTTGAGACAGCCGCAAATAGATGTCATTCCAAAAAAGGTGTATGGTATTTCGAAAGATTGAGAATTGTTTGAAGATGTTTGAAGGCTTCTATAGGGACTGTAATCTGTTATCTTGAGTCCCGACGGCGACGAATTGCCGAATTGCATAAAACGGCTCAGATCCACAGTCCTAGTCTCACCCAAGATACCCAAGATCGCCCTGTACTGGTCACACGACAAGGGCCTACACTTCTCACACCCTGACAATCAAACGTGGAAACAAACAATCAGTCACCGATGATTTACCGATTAAGAATGGTATCCATCAAAAAATGACTGTGTGTCCTATTCAACTGGAGATCTTCCTATTAAAAAATGAAGGTGTTCCTATCAAAAACTGTTCTTTTGTCATATTTCTCCTCTTAAGAGTGATGATTTTCCATTTCCAGGTTCCCCAGATCATCCAGATCCCCATTGGTGACCTCCAGCTGCGCTTCGACCCAAAAGCCCCGAGGCTTTCCTGTGGGCCTAGGGGATCCAAAATCTTTTTTTCGATGCCGAAGATTTCACCGTCTGGCTCTGAAAAAACTGATGATTGGTCTTTTCCTGGATCTCTCCCCATTTTTTTGTGGAACAACCATACCCTCTGGTAATTTAACATAGCTATGGAAAATCACCATGTTTAATGGGAAAATCCACCATTAATGGTCATTTTCAATAGCTATGTTAAATTACCAGAGGGTAAATTCATTAATGGGAATATCACTAACTGGAATGATGATGGAACAAAAAAATCAAACAAAACTGTGAGGTTCCAATCAGTTCGAAACGATGGGATGGAATGGGGAACTCTGAGCTGCCGACAACAACTCCTTCACCTCGACCTTCATCTGCAGAAGGCCCTCCTACAGGGCGGAAGGTATTTGTTTGTATAAATTACAATAATTTTGGTGGAATAAGATGGTGGAATCATGTCTATATACCTCTAGAAAATTTGAGTGGAATATCGCTGAAGTTGGAAAACGGAGTTTGTTATCTTCCATTAGATCACCATTCCAGTTAGTGGTATTCCCATTACTGAGTTTATGGTTGTTCCACAAAAAAATGGGGAGAGACCCAGGATCATCTCTATTTTTTCGTGTCTGTCTACGTGTTGATGAAATGCACATACCAATACAATACCCTCTGGTTAAATGTAGCTATTGAAAATGACCATTCATAGTGGATTTTCCCATTAAACATGGTGGATCTTTCCAGTTCGCTATGTTAGTCATTACCAGAGGGTATATGCGGGCACATTCAGGTTGTCTAGTCACTAGTCTAGTCACGTCGTCACGGTGGGAACTTTGGACGAACTTGATGACGTGCGTCACGTCTGATTTATGAAGAGCACCCAAAAAAAGGACACAGAAACATCAATCCACCTGAAATATTGGCTATATTACATAATATATACAGTATATATCTATATATAATATAATATAATATAATATAATATAATATTATATAATATAATATAATATAATATATATATATCCCTGTGACTGCCCTCTGTCGTTGATTCCTCGTTGATTATTCCAAATTTCCCCAATTCTGTGTGGTGTTTTTGATCCCCATTTCTTCAGGCCATTTGTGTTTCTATGCCCAGTCATAGCCGCATTTCTGGCCATGTTGATCCGGAGAATATGAGGTTCTTTACTTTCCAGTCACCAACTCACCAACAAATTTAGGGCCCCATTGGTTCCAACGGTACCAGCTACCCAACTATCTGCACCAGAAAAGGATCCTTGTTTGGTTGAACCGTCTTGAACCAACCTCCTTCTAACGCTGCGCCTGACGCCATCGTGGCATCAAAAATAGGGCAACCGTTGGTGGGTTTAAACATCCATGAAACATGCAAAGTTGGAATCACAATATTTGAAATGGTGTTTAATGGATCATTTATTTATTCATCTATCTCGTGTTTGGAAAATGGAGGTTAAAATAGTGATTGAAATGTTTGAAACCGCCAGTTGTGTATGTCTATCATCACAAATCATGGCAGGTTTTCCTGCCCGCAAAAGATCGGGACATAACAGTAGCTAGTAGCAACGCTCACGACACAAAAATGCCTTGCTCATCCCTGGGCTGCAACGCAGGACCATTTCAGACCATTTCAATTAGACATTCCAAGGTTCTATTTCCCCAAGGAATATCCAAAGGAATACCCTCCGGTAATCAACGTATCAATGGGAAATCCCCCAAAACACGGAGGTTTCTAGCTAGGAAAACTCTCCATCGGCCAGTGTCCAGTCCAGCCTGCTCGAAGGGAGAACCTCGTGTCTGGCAGCAAGGTCCCCTTGCCTCAGCAGCCGAGCAAGTGGAGGGTTTAACGGTAAAACCATCTATAATTGAGGGATTTTCCATTGGAATGTTTGATTCTGTTTGATTACCAGAGGGTGACCATTGTATTTCACATAGTATTGCATATTTTCTGCACAGGAATTGATGAACGTTGGTTCGCAATGGCAGGTTTGTTCACAAAGTGGATTCGACGCTGCTGAAAGCTCAAGAGCAATAAAACGTCTCGGTTTATGAGTAGAGTTGGGTTTGTCCACAATTGGCTGCCCCTCAAAATTAACTGGGTATCATCATTTCCCCTACTAAATTTGCCATTTGGATTATATCCCATTTTCAGACACACCCAAAAAATCCTCTTGTTGGTTGTATCTCTCCATGATTTGGTCTACCCCAATACTATCTGTTTTTCCCAAGGGATACGCAGTCGAAACGTCAGCGGCATGCCCTAGGCTGGGCTCAGCAATTGGTCGTAAAAGATGCATTGGCCTGGTGGTGTCATACCATTTGTTTATACTTGTGGAGGAGAATCTTTTTCCCAATACTATATAATATTATGTACTATATATATATTATGTATATATATATTCTTATATATATATATATAAATGTATATTATATATATATTATACATATTATATATATATATTATATATTATATATATTATATAAATATTATTTATATATATATATTTATATATATACAGTACCAAGTATATCTAATGTTAATCCCATTTTTTACCTATTCTCCCCTCATTTTTGGGTAAAGTCACCGGCAGTTTTCATGCCGCTGGTTGAATCCCTCCAGTGATCCTCCAGCTTCCAGGCCCTGGCCCAACGGCGCCACGCGCAGCTGTAGGGAGCCCGAAGGGACTCGCAAGAAGCGTCGGTACCTGCTGACCGCCCGGGCCAAGGGGCCACGGGGGCTGAAGTTGACTTTTTGTTACCTTTGAATAAGATCTATATGATAGCTTATTATTGATATATAATATTTATATAATATATATATATGTGTATTATCTCTTTGTTGTTAATGATATGCTGACGAATGTTGGTTTCTGTCTCCAGTTTACACTGGGCTAAACCGCTGTGTGTGGCTTACGACCGATGACTAAATCGTGTGTCTGTGTTTGTGTGTGTGTGTGTTTGTGTTTGTGTTTGTGTTTGTGTTTGTGTTTGTGTTTGTGTTTGTGTTTTTGTGTGTGTATGTATGTATGTATGTATGTATGTATGTATGTATGTATGTATGTATGTATGTATGTATGTATGTATGTATGTATGTATGTATGTATGTATGTAAGTGAGTGTGAGTGTCTGTATTGTGTATGCGTTATGTATGTATATACACATACTTTCACAGGGCTGAATTGGTTAAACCCCCCATTTTGTATTGGGTACGGAATGTCACAACCCCACACCCGTTATGTAGCAGTCAACCTGTGTCTGCCAAGCCACGATCTCTGAAGTGAGCTTTTGACACAGCAGCCGGGCCCTAACCTCACCGCTGTTGCTAGTAGCAGATTATCACAATTTGGGGGGTACCCTGGGTACCCCCTACATGATTAATCAACTAGGAATGATTCATCCAGGATTGGCATTACAATATGATACGATATAAACTATAAACTTTCAAAAACTGGGTCTGTTCAAAACATGGGGTCACCAACAGCCATTGGGATGTTCACCAACTGGGAATACCAGTCAGATACTGGTGGATGTGACCATGACCCATGACCCATGACCCATGACGTATGATGACATATGACACATGACCCATGACCAACCATGACTAACGGGAATGTCACCAATATCTATAAACATAGCATAAATGAAAGTGTCAAACCTTCAACTCTTGCCTGACCTTTTTCTGTTGTGGTGCGGAGGAAACCCTGCCTCAATCCTTGGGTCTACTTGCAGGATCCGACGTTGGGAACTGAGAACCCTGGTGATCCCCTTTTTTCGCTTATCCCATGTAGAAATGGGTGGTTCTTAACTAATTAATGGCCAACTATCCTTTACTATGGCTATTGATCTATTATAAATGGTGTGAAGAACTGCGTATCCTATCTGTAAACTAAACTAACTACCTGATTGAACTGGGGTGATTTACAACATTTTATAACTCATCTACAGTTCTCCCATCTATAAATGCAGCCTAACCCATGATTTCCAGGGCTAAAAAAAAACAAACTGGCTGAACTTGCAGCGTTTCCATCCCCAAGGTTCCCAAGGTCCCCAAGGCCAAGGCGAGTCGATGATGACGCTCTGAACCTGCGAAGAATGAGGGATTCTGTTTGGATTCAGGGCTAGTAGGGATACTGTTGATAGGAAATCCTTATGCAAAAAGAAAGATGATTTACGGGAAGTATAGAGAGTCTACTGAGTCTACTAGAATGTCAGGGGATTTCATGGGATTGCAATGGGATAGAATGGGGAACACGCCAAAAATTGGCAGTTTGGTAGGTACAATGATGCTTAACAAGCGGACGGAATGTGATACCCTGTTTCAGACAACCCCATATAGTTAAATAGTGTGGTGATGAGTCTTAGGATTGAATGATTTCACAGCATTCAGTCTTAGTACAAGTTAGTTGTGTCATGTTGTATCCTCAGTGCTTGTCAAAGCTCCCATGAAATGTCAAAAAATGCCATAAAATTGGGAATTGGCTGCCATCACCCAAAAAAAATGCTTGTTGGTGTGATTCCCCTACAATCTCTGGATGATGTTCAAATGGTGCTGCTGTTGCGACCTGGAAGTCCAGGTCGAAGATCCCATTCCCCGTTGAGGGCGGATTTACAGGATGAATCCTACCCCCCAGAAACCATAGGATCCATAGGGGTTTTGTAGGGCCTTTGTAGGGGATAAAAACACATATGACTGGGGCCATGGGCCATGGAATTCTGCTTTTAATGCCTTTTTTTTGAACGGCTGACAGGAGTGATGGATCATCTTCCTGGGCTGACTGGGATCAACTCGACATGGAAAACTGGAGGAGCACCAATTTACCATGGCCCAGTGGAAATAGTGAGTTGTTCCATTAAAAAATGGTGTTGATTTTCCATAGTTATGCAAACGTTTACCAGAGGGTAATTGAACAATTGCTGTCTTGGGGATATTCGACTGATCCTAGTGGAAATGGTGATCTTGACTCCATCTGCCTCTGGCAAAATCACAATATCTCCAGCCACAGCCATCACAGAGAATTCCTCAGTCAAGGCTTCAGAAATCCTCACAACCCTGGTGGATGAAGTTGGTCAATTTCCCCAAGTGTCGCTGCTTAAACCCCCGGATTTGTTGAAATCCCAAAATCCCCATTTTCACCTGGTTAATGGCTACTGGAATCTGCTATTATAATGGTATATTAATGGTTAATACAATGGTTAATACAATGGTTAATATGCCATTATACCATTATACGGGATGCTACTGGTTAATATGCAAACTTCCTCATTTCACCTGCCCCCGTTGAGCCCCCCACCGACTCGACCTTCGTCGTCTCGTCTGCGGCACCCAGCCGGTAGTCCCCGTTGCCGCAGGCTTCACTGGGACAGTCCAAGTGGAGGATGCCCAGCCTGCAAGGCTTTGGGAAGCTGAGATGTTCACCATGTTTTTTGGCCGTGAAATCAAAGGAAACCCATGATAAATTATGATACAAAATGGCAAAATACCATTGTACCACCATGTTTTTAGGTTGCGGCTGAAGTTTGTACGAAGTGGCTAGCAATCGTGGATATGACCCAGCTTCACATGGGATACCCCCCACCAACCAGGACGGAGTGAAGCATAAAAATCCGTCCCCGGGATGATCAAGAAATGAAAATACAGGGCCCAAAAAAATTAAGTGGAAATGGGTCTTTTAACAGGAATAAACTTGGAAAAAACACAGAGAATTATTTGGGCATCTGCAATTTTCAGGTTCTAGATATGTTGACCCATAGCGTGTCAAGCTGTAGCTGTTGGATGCTGTTGGAGGGTCTCAGGTACCCAAAATCACCTGCCCTTTGCATCCAACTAATAGATGTGTGGTCACCATATCCAAATCCGCTGGTTACCCTCTGGTAAACTAACATAACTATGGAAAATCACCATTTTTAGTGGGAAAACTCACTATAAATTGCCATTTTCAATAGCTATGTCAGCCATTACCAGAGGGTCAGCATCCGACTTCTTGGTGGTTCATACCTGTTGCCATCCCCTCTGGTTGGCAAGTCTCCCCATTTTTGCAGGGAAAATCGCCGTCCTTGCATGAGGAATCAAGAAAATTACTGCTAGCAAAATCATCCAAAACATCCCTATGTTTGCTAAATCATCTTCAATCCAAGTGGCTATGGATCAATACCTATTAATACCATTTTTAGTGGGTTATTCACATCCATAAATCCCAGCTATTTTGATGTGAACTACAGGGGTACCAGGTTTTGACACACTGCCAAGTGTTCTCCTGGGTCCACGGGATCCTCCACTTCGGGACCCGGGCTCAATGGAGGTTCCCTGCGACATTGGAA